GTGCAGGCAACGCAAATCAAGTCTGGGGCCGCGTTGCGTTGATTTGGCTCGTTGCAAGCCTTGCTTGAATACGGTCCCGGTCGTCAAGCTTTGTAGCTTCCTCGAGGTCCTCCATTATTGAACGCCTGACCATGATGCCCTCCTGTCGGCAAAAGAGGTTAAAGCTTGCCATGTTCAACAGCTTGATGCCCTGGATCCCGTGATTGGCATTGCTTCCAGTTATTGCCACCGGCCGCACCAGTCGGAGTAATCTTGACGTGGTCGATTTGGCTGGCAGGATCCTCCGCCGTACGCCGGCGACCATCGTCGTCGGCCGTGGCCGTGGCTGTGGCTGCTGTTTTATCGTCGTATCAATCGGCTGGGCTCGCATCCCAGGTGGTGCGAGGGTCCATCGTGGACCTCTTGCCAGGGCCCTTCCACATATGTCGTAGCGTGTGGTCCTCCTATTAATAGGTGGTCAGACTGAGGTTGTGGGTTCGAGTCCCATCTCGATCGACTTTCATTTTTTCATTCTTAATTTCTTCTTCTCGAAGGTAGTTACTTTCTAGAGTTCGTATAGAGAAAAAAGTGGTAAATAAAGTATAGTTTCTTCCAATAGCTCTATTAAAAAGGTAGACCGGAATCACCGTACTACCTAAGTAGCTAGCCTAAAAAGAAAACTCAAGGTTGAAAAGTCAAGACTTGAAAAAATAAACCGTAGTTAAACACTCGATCCACCCAGGGATCGAACCTGGAATCTTCTGATTACCGAGTCGTAGTCAGACGCTTTTCCATTAAGCCAGCAGACCTGTTGAAAGGCAGGAGCATGGCAACAACATTATGACCTCGGATGAGCCGGGCTTGTGCGGGTGGGGACTACAGTCTACTTTCCAGGATCTAGTCCTGGGGACTTGTTTAATGGAACTCGTTTCAAAGAAAAGAGCGGAGATGGATAAAGCCGGGCTATAAATTCACAACCTATGGCACATGATTGAAAGAAAGGCCGGGGACACTACCCCTGAGTTGTCCCTCCCCAATGTAAAGACAATGTGTCGTTCAAGTGCTCCGAAATCTAGAGTCATGGGCATCGATAATCCAACTAGATCGACTGACAAGCATTTTGCAACGGCACCGATGAGGACATTGTATTGACAATACGGAGTTTCTTAACAACGGGGTATCTTCGTTCCTGCTTCAACGCGACAAACCACTCGCAACTTGGGCGGGTCATGACCATAGCCTGGAAAGCGACGAGAACCAGCCCTTTTTCGGCTCATGGCCCGCCTCAAAGCCGATACACATGGCCGTAGCATAATCGCCGTCGTGGCTGATGCTCACCCTGGCCATCTGGTCCCTCGCCGCCCCTCCGTTCGTAGCCCTGATCAGCGCTACGGGCGCGGCGTTGCTCCAGGAATTCAGCACCAAATCGCCTGTCAGCTCTTGGGCCTCCGAGGCTGCCAAGATGAGAATATCGTGGAACCCCAGTCTGAGATGCGGGTGCGCCTTGAACGCAGCCTCCTTTGCGGCAAACCTAGAAATACCATCATCAGCAATTCTTTGCGCACTTGCTCCCCTTCTCCTGCTTCGCAGAACCCCACCTTCCAGCCAGATGCGTAGCGGCGCGCTTGTACACCTCGCGATCCGCTTCACTCAGCTCTTCACTCAGCTCCTCCTCCTCCTCCTCCTCCTCCTTATCAGTCCTGGGCTCCCCGGCCTGCTTCCCCCTTGTCTGCCACGCTGGCCCTCCCCTCAAGCCACGGGGTTCTTTTAGCGAAATCTCTGCCGCGGTGGTCCTGGCGGCATTGTTTGCCGCGGCCTCCAACACCTGGCGGAGAGCTGGTTTCGCGCGGGCTAGTTCCTCGGGGGCCAGCACGCGCTGGATGAAACGCGTGCATTGGCGGCTGCGCAGGATGCGGCCGATACGCCCCACGCGGCAGATGTCGGTGCCGATTCGCAGGGGGAAAGGGAAAGGGAGCGGGGGTGGCATTCCTGGATTTAATATTAAAGTTTGGGTTGGGGGGTTCGGGATGTTGAACTTGGCCTGCCTTTGCGAGGTGAAATCATGGGCTGATGATGATGATTGGAAGCTGTTGCAGGGGTGGTCGATTAATCCAACAGGCGCTAGGCTGTCTGCGGTAACCAACTACCGAGGTGCACAACTCCAGCATGATCTTATCTATCGATAAGCCCAAGATCTCCATCACCTTCACGACTAAATCATCGCCAACGCCACACAGTGAATGAACTTGACAAGTGTTTACAACCGCAAATAGTGCAAACCGAGTTCTCCAGAAGTCCCTTAAGAACAGACAGCAAAAAGCGCAACCATTACCATCCTCCCGACCAACATTGTGTCCCGACGCCTAAAGCAAAGCAATCTGATCCGGCTCCCTCCTCGTATTTCTCCTTTTCTTTCCTTATTTTTCTCCCTCATCTTCCTCCTTCATCTGCCTCCATCTTCATCCCCCATCTTCCTCCCCCATATTCCTCCTTCATCTTCCATCAGCAACTCTCACGCATCATCCCCGCACCACCCCCCGCCTCAGCCAGAAACAACCATCCCGCAAGCTTACTCCGCAAGCAGCGGCGCCCGCTCAGCATCGACCTGGCGCCTCTCGGCCGTGCCACCCCACGGCACCTGCCTCCCAGTCCAAGCCGGCACAGCCACAATGACGGTCAAGACAAACAGCACGGCCATGATGGTGAAGGCAAAGATCCACTGGAAGGCAACCACCTGGCGGAAAAACTGGGCGACACCCAGCGACGCGGACAGCACGCTCAGCGCAAAACCCATCGTGTAGTCCTGCCGATCAATCTGTCAGCCCCCTTTCTTCCTACTTACTCCCCCCCTCTCCATTCAGTGGGACGACGTACCTTGTACAAGACAATAAAAAACAAGCCGTAGCCCAAGAGGGACCACACAAACACGTTGGCAAACACGCGCGCGACGAGGCTGCCCTGGTGCGGCACCATGATGGCGCCGTTCCAGTAGAGGGCCACAAAGGTCCAGGCCAGCGGGCCCGAGACGGCCGGCGCGTGGATGAAGCGCGGGTAGGCGTGGTGGCGAAAGTAGAGCGACGTCAGGTTGGCAAAGTTGAGCACCAGCAGCACCTCGGCCCACACAAAGTGCGAGCGCACAAAGAGCATGACGAAGCCAAAGTGCAGCAGGTTGTTGGCGATGAAGTGGCTGCCTACAGAGCAGGCCGCATTGACCGACTCGGTTTGGGACGAGAAGAGGTGCGAGATGTAGCCGAGTTGGAGGATGAAGAGGACGATCCTGGGTTGGGTGGGTATAGTTATTAGCTTGGTGTGTGGTGGAGAGGTGGGAGAGGTGTCGAGCGAGGGGGGAGGGAGTGACAAACCAGTAGATGGACGTGATGACCGAGTTGAGAGTGAAGCCCGAGTAATGGCGGTAGTTTTGGTGCCAGATAGTCCCCCGATGGTACTTGCCGTCGTGCGGCGGCTCAATGGCGTAGTAGACGGTGACAACGACCGACAGCAGCCAGCTGGCCAGCGTCAGGACCTTGTACCAGACGACCGAGTGGGCGCTGTGCGAGTCCCTCTTGGAAAAGGGGTTCACTGGCAAGCAAGAGAAAGTCAGCATGGGGAAAGAGTAGTGGTTGGTCGTTTCCATCTCCAATGGCACCCACTCTGATGGAAGCGATCCATTTTGGCGGTTCGCTGTGGCGGTTTAGAGTTTCAAGTCCGAACCCTTGGTAGTTTGTCAAAGAGTCAATGGAAGAGGAAAGCGCGGGGATTGCGAGTTAATATGCAGCGCCAACCCCCCAGCAGGTCTGAGACGTCCTGCGTCCCGCAGTCACTTGATCTAAGAGAAACAGGCGAGACAGGCGAGACAGGCAGGGAACGGACACTGAACTGGTCCAACCGATTGGTTCATTGGCTTTCACCTTGGCGCGCGTGTTTGGGTCTGACAGTGTGTTCTGCCGTAGCAAACCGGGAGTTGCAGTGTTGGGGCGGGATACTGCGTCACTGCTTTGTCCAATGTCCAAGTTTGGAGCTCTCTCTGTTTGGCCGCGACTAGATCTACTCGACGGTCTATCGCCGTCGACATGCAGACGTTTTCTAGAGATAATAACAGGCCAACCGTTTGGGGTTTCGGCAATTCTAAACAATTCCCTCGTATTGCCCGCCCAGCACATTCACAACAACCTACATAGTATTGTGTAGCGAGTGAGTGAGTGCTCGATCAGAATGTTGGGTGAGCGTCCAGGTATGGTGGGGGGATGCGGGGAAGTGTGCGTGTGGGCCCACTTATGACGTATGAACACTTCAGCTTCCACGCGTTCCCCCTTCCTCAGCAGCTCAGGTTTTCTCGATCATGGAGTTCGTGGAACGCGAACCCTTTGGATCCGGGAACTTTTTGCTCGAAAAAGAGGATCCAGTCGGGGTGGAATTGCGAGGCTGCCATGTGACCTTGTGATAATGCGGATCAAGCGCGTCAAAGTTCAAAAGATTGGAATCTCGCGAACCGGAACACCCTCCGTACGACCTTCCACCATCCAGAGCAGACAGAAAGACGCCTTCGATTGGTTGGGTTTCCACCACCAGACCGAGAGTGAACCGAGTCCAGTCTGCCCGTGGCGTCGATGCCCAACAACACCACCACCCTCACAAGTACGCCTTTGGGCCCAAATGTGCACATTGCTGACAATGGCACAGTCCTCAAGATGGCCGCCTTTAAAGGGACGCATGGTGCGCGACCGACCCATGGGCCATCAATCACCATAACCACTGGCACTGCCCCCATCCCCCATTCCCGAGGCCCGAGCCGCCGCCAAGTCGTCGACGTCGAACTGATAATGATAATGGCTTGCTGGGCTTTTCTGCACCGCTACTTCGGTCAACCTCACCGACATGCATCAACTACTTATCCAGAGCGCGACGAAGTTCGCCAATTGGCTTAGCTTGCTCAGTTTGAACATGCACCGCCTTCTTGGCTCATCGGTCGATTTCACATTTCCCAGATTCGGCAACTCTGCAGAGTCTCGATGCCTTGTGGGCACACCTCGAGGCATTCCCCCGAGTCTTCGTCCGTCCAAGAAGTATCTTGGGCTCTAAATGTCCACCTGTTGGCCCCGGTCTCACACTGCCGCTGAAGATTATAAATAAAACCTCCTAGCTGGACCCTTTTCCTCGCCACTGATTCCCTCCATGAATGGACGAACAATGTCACAGTTTGTACATGTTGACCCTGGCCACCGCCGAAACTCGGCCAGGAAGTCCCGCCAAGAGTGGGACAAATGGAAGCCGATAATCATCGAAAAGTACAGGAAGATGGCCCTCAAAGACGTCCGGGTATCGATGGAGCGGGAGTACGGCTTCTCTGCAACGTGAGGGGCCCCTCAATAGAATCGCACTTTGCCGTCAACTAACGTTACTCGTCCAGGAAACGGCAGTACGGCAACACCATTCAAGTGATTTGGAAGATCTCAAAGTACAAGAAGAAGCCCGCTCCAGGGGAATCACGCCCAAATGTGCCGCCGCCCAACAACGCGGTTCCTGCCGAGGAAGGCAGCGCTAATAGAGGCACGCTGTCTCACAACTGTCCTGCGGCTTTGCCGGGCGAACCGTCGACTTGGGTTCCCAGACTCGACTGCGCAGACGCCAGGGCTCGCCATCTCTGCCTCTCCGAGACGCTACTCGCCTTTGGAGACTCCCGCTACTCCTTCGTCATCAACTCCGCGCTGTGGAATCACGCCTTGTGGGATGAGGAGTCCTTGGTTGCGTACAGTGTCGCCTGTGTCCGCACCGCTCAAACTCCGGCAGACGCCAAGCAGGCCCGGTACAT